AAAAGGAAATAAATGTCTTATTATTGTAGATAACATTATTGTGTATGCAGAAAAAATTTAAAATCCTACAAACTCTTAGAATTAGCAAGATAATTCTACAAAAATAAATATAAAAATATAATTCATTCTCATATAGCAGCCACAAATAGAAAATGAAATAAAACTACTTACATCATCAAAAAATATTCTATAGCTAGGAATAATTCTAACAAGTATTGTGCAAGACTTCCACACATTAAACTATAAATCATTATTGAGACAAATTGTATCAGATCTAAATTAATAGAACAACACATTATGTCAAGGATCGGAATATTGCACATTGTGAGTGATGTCAGTCCTCCCTAACAAACCTATTTATATATAATTATCTGGTTTGTGACAAGGTTGCACTGTATTACAATAAAGAAAGATTAACTTTTCAACAAATGGCTGATTGAATTTCATTAATGACAAAGAAAACCCCAAATCTTTCTCATACCATATATAAAAAGTAATTTCAGATGGAATGGAGACTAAGTGTAGAAGGTAAAATAAACCTTCTCCAGGAAAACCTAACAATATTTTTATAAATTTGGGAGGCAGGATTTCTTAATCTGGGCACTAAAACACAAACAACAACCCCGAAAGAAATCTGATATAACACAATTTAAATATAGATAAGAAACCCACTAACCATAAAAGAAAAATGAGTCAAAATGAATTTGATTCATTGAAATTAAGAACCTGTGTTTATCAAAAGACATTATGAGAACAAAAAGACTAACCACAGAGTATAGGAATTCAAATGATAAATGGTCAACGAAAGACTGAATTAAGGATATATAAATCTATGTACAAATCAGTAAGTAAAACTTAGATTTTTGGTATATAAATACTTAGGCAAAAGACTCCAACTGGCAGTTCATAAAACAGTATTCAAAAGGCCAGTCAGCATATAAAAAATGTTGGCCTTGATCAGTTATCAGGGAAATGCAAGTTACAACTACGACACAGCCACCAGAATGACTGACATGAAAAAGTCAGTAAATGCCAAGTGTGTGGGAGGGTGGAGCACCTAGAAATCTCATCTGTACTGGGAGGAGTAAGGTAGGCACAACCACTTTGGAAAACTGTTTTGGCAGTATATATTGTAGATGAAGGCAGAATTCACCATTACCAGAAATTCTAGTCCTGGGGGTACACCCCAGAGAAAAACATACATACATTCACCAAATAACACTGGGGGAAACATATTCAACTTGACACCATTTGTAATAACCTTAGGCTGGGTAAAAACGACCCACATATCTATCAATACCCAGAATGAATAAATGAATTACGGTGCATTCATGAATGAAATGACATATCTCTCAGGGACTGAAGGTCGAGCTTGAACCGACACAAATGAATCACACTGAAGAACTCATCGGAAGTCAGGGCAGTGGTCATCCAGAGCGCGGAGGGCGCATCCCCACTCTCGATGATGCTCTATTTCTTTATCTGGTTGCTGGCTGCTCAGGGCGTTGTTTTGTGGATCAGCCACACGCCTGTACTTTGTGCAGCTTTATGCACGTTACGTGTGAATGAGAAGCCTGCATAGACTACAAACCAAACATGCAACCTGGTGGCGTGAGTTTTGCAATTCTGGAAAATGTCTCATGACTCCAACAAAAAATATAACAAAACTTAAATACAGATAAAATAACAGCCATTTTTCTTTAAAAAAATCAATACTGGACTATGCCGGACACTAAACTACTAAGAAGGGAAAGTATAAGAACTGAATAACATACAACATCATCCCAAGAAGCTCAGCCGTTTCAGGCCCCGGCAACATGAGGAACAGCCCACACGCTGCTGTGGTGCAGGGTCACAAGCTCTAGTGGGCTGTGGGTGCAGCTCCGGGGAGAACAGAAGAACATGCATCTAATTCTGCCTCGAGATGCCTGGAAAGGGGCTGGTCTGGCAGAGAAAAGGGGAAAAGGAATCCAAGAAAGGCAGTGAGGCAGCAAGAGACTAAACAAATGCGAAAGATGTGAAAAATAAAGGTTAAAATATAAAAGCTACAAATGAATTTAAGAAAATGTGAATTTTTTTTTTTCCTACCACATTGGGAAAGATTAAAGACTGTCTGGTTTCAGTGAGGATATGGTGGTAGAAACTGTACCTGCTCCTCTTAAAAGCAATTTGCTAATAGCTATAAAAATGTAAATGTGCATCCATAGTATGTCCAGTTCTAGAAATTCATCATAAAAAGTACCCTTTGAGGTGATATATTGGAAGGATGATAGCATAGCTGATAAGAGTGAAACACTGAAAACATCCCAAATATCCCAACAGGCTGTACTTTAAATAAATTATGGAACATTCAGGCCACAGAGTATTTATCCAATGACTAAATAGAATGAGGTGGAATTACAAGTAGGAACATAAAACTCTGACTATGTTTATTAACTGAAGAAAAAATCTTCAGAATAACATGAAATGGTTCTATTTTTGTAAAAATACTTAAATTCAATTTTATAATTTGTATTTATATTGAAAAAGTATAAAATACATATACCAAATTTTCAACTCTGGTTGTCATGCTAATGACCTTGAATTTCTTATGCACAGAATGAGCTGGGAACATATTTTTTTTTTAAAGTGAGCAAGTGAAATGATCATCTTTTGTTTTATAGGAAGTTTTGTATTACGACCAATAAAAATGTTTCAACCATTTGACCCAGCAAAAGTTTTCCTAGGAATTTATTCTAAGGTGTTAATGATAAATATAAGCAAAGATTTACTTGCAATGCCATTAGCCATATGATTATGTGTAGTATCCAAAATCAGAAATAACATAACCAATGAGAGACACTATTTAATCTCATACACACACACTACAGATTATTCACCAGTACATGTAAGACATATGTTAATGTGCTAACAATGGTGTCCTGAAAGGGGGAATGTACTTAAAAAAAAAAACTTCTCTAAAATGTCTATACGTTCATTCATTTTTCAGCCATATAAAGACAGTAGTTTTAATACAGAAAAAAAAATGTTCCTTAGCTTTGGAACAGTGGATGAGAACCCTAACAGGAAGCTCTGGTGACAGGCCTGGTGAATTCTGAGGGCTGGGCTAGAGAAGGGGCAGCAGGGGCGGGGCCGGGCCGGCCGGGGGCCTGGGACACACAGCCAAGGAGACCTGATGGTCCCACGAGCACGGGAGCGACGGGAGCCTGGGCTGGGAAGAGGCTCACCTGGCGTCTCTGGACATGTGCCTCTGGCGTCAACACACAAGTTCAGAAAGAAGGGGGCTGGAGGATGGAAGTGTTGAGGTCAGAGAAGAAATGGATTACTTTTAAATGAGATAATAGCGACATGTCTGTTGAGCTGACATTGTCACTGGGCCCTACAGGCGGGAAGAACCTGGAGGTGAGGCAGTGAGGAGAGCCCGGGAGAGCAGAGGTCGAGAGAATAACTCTAATTCTCAGGCCAGCCCGCGCCCGGGTGTCGGTGCTGGAGTGGAGGGTGGGTGTGAGCAGTCGGGGACGTGCCTGGGAGGGCGCAGGGAGCCGGGCGGAGAGGGTCTGTGGTCCAACAGGGCTTGTGTTTGCTGATCAGCGACGGGAGGGGCAGACTGGAGAGGTCAGGGGGGCGCTGGGAAGGGCGGGGGGGAGGGCAAAGGAAGAGGAAGGTCCCAGGAGGCTGAGGAAGGGGCTGCAAGGAGCTGGTGAGGGGACAGAGGTGCACAAATGGAGGGCGGACAGCTTGGGCTTGTGTGTCGCTCATTTTTTTTCTCAGTGTCTATTATGAAGAAATTTAATGCACAAAAAGAATACTGTGAGCCATAGATTCATATTTTGTTTTTTTGTTGCATAAACACTGGAGACTGGGGAGGGAGAAATAAGGAGTAGAAGAAAATACTGGAAGTTCAGCCCTCCAGCCACTTGGAGGAAGGCAGACATGAGCCAAGGCCTTGGGAGGCAGATGCCGGCCGGCGGGTNCAAGAGCAAGAGGCGGTGGGCAGCCTGTACACACACCCAGGCCGGGGGGCGCCCCGGAAGGCCAGCATCCTGGGCCGTGAGGCCTGAGTGCCTCGGGGTCTGCAGGGCACAGCGCGGTGCCTGGGGATGGCGTGGGGAAAGCAGAGTGGGGTGAGCTCACCCAGTGGCCTTGTTACCCTTTATCCTTGGCAAGGGGGATAATCAGAAACTTCTCTGCTGGGCTGGGAGGGCAGTGGGGAGCGTGGTCAGCAGCGCGGTGTCACCGGCAGTGCCTCATTTGAGCCTTGGTGTGGCTCCTCTGCTCAGGTGAGCGAGTGGGTTCGTGCTCACAGGGCAGAGGCGGCCAGGCAGGATGCTGTGGTGACTCAGCCCCTCTAAACTGACTTGGGCTGGGGAGGATTGGCTGGAAATGGAATTTTGAATGTGGACCATACTGAATTTGTTGCTGAATTATATGTGCTATGAGATAGAGAGACTTGTTAAAAAAAAAAATAAAGGACTCCCAGGGCCTTCAGACCAACTAGCAGAATGGAGTTGACATTTACTAAGATAGGAAAGACTTTTAAGAAAACCGGGTTTGGGAAAGGAGTGGAACGGAAGTGTGGTCAAGGTTTGCGTATTAAGTTGCCTGCTTGCGACTCCCTTGTACACAGCGAGACCGAGATCAGAGAATCCGGGGCAGCTGGGGGGCAGGCAGCAGTCCCACCAAAACCTCACTGCACAAACAGGGCAGACCAGGGAGCCTGGAGTGGGTGTTGGAGAAGCAGAGATGCTTCCGTTCGGATGGAGACCCACAGCTGTCTTGGGCCCAAGTTTAGCTGATTAATTCAAACCTTAAAATAGTTTCCGGAGATACCCATGGAGATCCACTGCCTCCCTCTCCCTGGTAAGGACTGGAATCTCCTAAGACTAACCATTCTCTCAAAATGTCATATTACCCTAACAGGGAGAGGCCTAAGATTCAAACGAAGGTGACTTCCTGGCAAAGCTGAGGCGCAGCTAAAGGAGAAGGAATCGTCCACCTACTTGAGAACTGGATGGAGAAGCCGGACTTGCTGATGAAGAAGTCGCTGTCGAACTGCAGAGTGAGCGAGCTGAATGTGCTGTGGATGTCCTCGGGCAGCAGGGAGCCACTCCACTCCTTCAGCAGGATGTCGCGGTCCAGCGGGCCGTCCCACACCTTCAGGATGTCGTGAGCCATCTCAGTGTCAAACACAATGAAGTGGAGGCTGCGGGGAGAGGGCACAGCATGAGCAAATGTTCCCCTGAACAGAACAGCGCTTCCCGCTCAGACGAGCATGCTCGGCACACAAGGTCGCATGAGCCAGCTCATCTCCTTTGCACCAACCCCAAGAAGGGCCTCCCATCCGACAGCTGTGGGCCAGGGTGTGGAGACCCACAGACAGGAGCTGGCCTGTGCACACCAGGGCCCAGCCACAATGACATCTGCGGTGGACACTATGTGGTGAGCTCTGTGTTGAAGGGGGAAACAACCCCTTCTGGGACTGTCAGCTCTTTTTATAATTCCAAGCTTTCTTGGGTGCACAAACCAAAGGCCAGTTGCACCAAGCTTTGTTTTAAGCTACGGGAAGTCAGCTTTTTAATGTTGCTCTTGGAATGCCCAATAGGTGGCCGTGCCCACAGTGGGAAACATGTGCCGAGGTGATGAGCACGCCGCAAGGGCCTCTTACCAGAGAGACCCAACGCTGTATTTATTTCTATAAATCATATTTCAGGAAAAGACACATGATATGAAATACCAACACAAAGTCAGAAGCGTGTAATATAAACTCTTTGTCTCTGTGGTACCTTAACACACTTCGATCAGATTCACACACACTTTCAGAGCGACCCGAGATACAGGCGGCAAGAGGCAGCAGACCTGGGCCCTTGGCCTGTCGACGGCACTTCAAACGGCGGGGAGTTCAGCTAGAACAGCAGCAAAAAGTGGTATTCTCTGAATGTGCTAGTTAGTTGTTCTTCCTCCCTACTGCATACTAGACAGAATTGTAAGGATGATAAAAATTGCAAAAGATGACGGGAAAAACACTATATGCAAATCCCAGTATATTCTGCATTGTATTACATATTCAAGGAAAACAACTATCTCACCTTGCATGAAGTATAAAATATTTTATGTATTTTTACATGTTCAATGTTTTTTAATGTAAAGAGAAGTACAGAATATATATAGCAGACACTTTTGTAACCACCACCACAATTAATATTTTGCCCTATTTGCTTCATATCTTTTTAAAAATAAAAGCTTACAGATACTCCCCTCCTCTCCACTAATTCATTTGTTCTTCTCCCACATTCTGAAGTTGTGACGGACTGTGCCCACTTCTATTTTCACAATTTTCCTATTTACATGTGTGCATAAATTTCCCCAAATAATATACAGTACTATTTTGTGTGTCTAACAATTACATAATAGATATCAGCTGGCATGTATGCTTATCATTTTCAAGATGCTTGTTATGTTCATCATTCTGTGAAGATGCACTGCACTGACAAAGCAGATTGTTAATTCACTCCAAAAGCATGAATACATGGTTTGTCTGGTCCTCAACTAAAAGACAGTTTGTTTCTACATTTTAATAATGACAAGTGGTGCTCCGTCAACACCGTGGTGGTTTTGCCCTAGGGTCTTTCTAGGCTTGAAGAGCAGAACTGCCGAGTCGGACTCCCCGCGGCTGTGAGCACTTGTGCTCTTCTTATGATGTGCCGTCCAGGTCTCGTCACGCCTTTACCCAAACTTGGTGTCATGAGACCTTAGTATGTTTGCTTCATGCTGAGTGACACGCCGATGCAGCATTCTTAGTGAGGCAGTCGTCGCACCTGCGACTCAATACCTGCTGTGTTGACAGCAGACTGTACTTTCCTGCTACTCTACTAGAAGACACGGAACGGAGAACCGCTACCTGAGCTATCCTGAGGATGCACGCTGTGCACGAGCTTGAGAGTAGAGGTGCGGGGAGGCGGTAAGATGCTGGATGCACTGTGAAGGTAGAGAAAGCAGGATTCGGGGAGGCATGTGGGGGGGGGCAAGGATGCAAAGTCACCCAAGGTTTTTGCCTAAGAAACTACTAAAAATGTGGATTTCTCATCAACAGAGCTGAGAAAGGGTACAGGCAGAAAATGTCTGTGGGATGGGGAAGGCCCAGATTCTGCTCCAGGCACACTGAGCTCATGACACCTCCTAGACATTGAGTAGAGCTAGAAAGCAGTTGTCCATGCGAGTCGGGAATGTGGAAGATAAATCTGGATGGAAATAATAAATGTGTTTTCAGGAAATAAATTGCTTTAAAACATGAGACTAGATAAGGTCATCAAAATCATAGGTGAGGAATACAGGAAGTCCATGCACTCTGAAATACCTCATCACATATGATTTCCCACCTCTGTAACATGTTGTTTATATTGTTTCATATATCACACCAATCATATTATATGCTTGCTCATTTTGTTAAAATGTTTTATCACTTTAAGAAAAATATGATGCTCCTTATTTTGTTAGGATGGTTTTTGTTTTATCTTGTTATGTTGTTGATTATGAAAAAATATGAAGTTCTACATCTATTAAGATGACTGTGGAGTTATTTCTTTTTAAACTAATAATGGGATGAATTACAGAGCTCAACTTTTAAATTTTATTTCTTATACTTGCTCTTTGATATGAAGGTTATGTTAGCGTCATTAATCGGCCATTTCCCTGTTTTTTTCTTTTGACCAGAAGATCTTTCTAAAATTTTAGTATAAGATAATCTATCATTTTCTTAAATTTTCTGAAAAATAATGTCTATTGTACAGGTATATCCCTGTTTCTATTCCTAGTATCACTTATTTAGGTTCCATATCTTACCTTGATGAACTCTATCAGCTACTTACCGTACTCACAAATTCTTTTTCAAAATCAGTTTGAGGATTTGCTAACTCTCTATGTTGTTTCTTTCGTAATTTCTTTTACCTGATTTGTTGTTTTTCCACTTCTACTTCTTTGAATTTACTGATACTATTTTCAAATTCTATTAGCTGGAAGCTTAACTTACCAATTTTCAAACTATCTTCTTTTTCTAATTTGTGCACTTAGGGCTACAGAATCCATATTAAGCTACTGCTCATACGTTTTTTTCTTTTTACAAAATAGTATGTCTGTTACTGAGCAGAATCTGATCTCCAAATTACGCTGCTTTGGCATATTGACTATTTTGAACTAAAGTTACTTAAGAAAGAGGCTGAGCAAGGACACTCTGGCCTCCTTTGTCCCCTAGAAGCAGGAAAAAATCCCTATGCGCACGGTGACCGCTCCGCATCAGGAGGAGGCGGCGGGGGTCCGGGGCTCAGGAGGACCCGCAGCAAACCTTGTTTCTTGCACGCTGATCTGCTACCCCGAGCCCCAAATCCTTTGTCTTGTCGTTTCTTTTTGACTTTTCTGTCTAAAGGATATGAAAGCTGCCTGCTTCCGTCACTTCTGGGAGTATCGTAACTTTCATGGGGCTCCCATACTTACAAAATTACATTCATTTTTCTCCTATTAATGTGTCTTGTATCAATTTATTAGATAAGCTCAAGTGCTGAACAGGAAAAAGGGGAATGTTTTCTTCCCCTACATTACTTTCTTACTAGAGATTTCTGTTTCTATTCCATTTTGGTCAGGGTATGAGGCATAAAAGGCAGTGATTCTGTGTATTGATTGGCAGTTTGTTCCTCTTACATGGTCATGTTTATGGTCATATTTACTTGAAAACGATATGCAGGTTCTAACTCAATGCTGTGTTTCTGTTTTAAATGAGGTTAGAAATTGTATGCTGGAAATCTGCAATGCACCTGCCAGCTTATCTGTCTGACCTGCGTAACACCCATAAGGGATGTACTGTGCAATTTCAAATGTCTCCAAATGATTCAGCCATTTCTGTCTGTATTAAATCATGTTCTTAGATGGATACAAGTGTCTTCCTGTCCTATATCCCCAGTGAATATACATCCCTAAATGATTTACAGTACCATGATCTATGTTAATAATAATTACATACAAGGTTACTCTTACTAGGGAATGATAGTTTGCATACAGAATTCCAGGTTGATAGTTATTTTCCTTTAATACTACAAGGATTGGCATCTTTTGGTCTGCATTGTTAAGAAGTCTTTTATCGGCTACTTAGTCTTCCTTTGTCTCCTTCTGAGACCTTCTTCTGTCCTGGGTGTCCACCCGTCTCACCAGAATTTGTCTAGCTGCTACTGTTTTTCCTAATACTCAAGACACACTAGGTTTATTAAATGCAAAATTCACACTGTGTATCAATTCTAGAAGTTAAGGTGGGGCAGGGAACTACTATTTATGTGATAATTACTGTAGGATTTCACTTTTATACTGTGTGAATGTAGTACTTTGATAAAAATTTTAAAGAAGTAATGAAGAAAGAAAGAAAAGAAGGAAATTCAGTGGTCACTGTATATAAATCTATGGCAATATATTTTAAACTCTTCACAAAGTGGTTTTCTAGAAAACACAGGTTACCAAATTGACTCAAGATCAATATAGAGAAACATACACAAATACAGCTTACGTTTACAAAATATTTTAAAATTGGTGGTAAATTTAAAACAGGATGAGTGACCACCAATGAAGGAGTGAAAAGTTCAGTAAATACCGATGAGTAGGTGAGTCCATAAAGTGCAGTCAAGTGAGCAAAAAAACCCACTGTGCTAGTTATTTACCTTGTAAAAATAACTTGACTTATCAATTCCATTAATTTTACTGAAGTTTTTTTGAAGTAATTTTTAAAATTTTAGGTAATGAAACTTAATTTAAATTTTTGTTTCCATTATGGAGATTTTTTCTATAATTAAAGAGCACACATTGAAGTAAATAAATAATTAAATGCTTAGTCTCTGAGATTGGGAATAGAATATTGAGGCCCACTCTCACCACTTCTAATCGATATTATTCTGGAGATTGTAGCCACTGCAGTAAGATAAGAAAAAAGGCTAAGAGCTGGAAAAAGGAAATAAATGTCTTATTATTGTAGATAACATTATTGTGTATGCAGAAAAAATTTAAAATCCTACAAACTCTTAGAATTAGCAAGATAATTCTACAAAAATAAATATAAAAATATAATTCATTCTCATATAGCAGCCACAAATAGAAAATGAAATAAAACTACTTACATCATCAAAAAATATTCTATAGCTAGGAATAATTCTAACAAGTATTGTGCAAGAC